GTCCACCATAGACTCTGTATGTAAACCTGCTGCTCCTGACGCTGAAATCGCGTTTGGTGTGAACGCACCATTACTTGATTGTGGTATAGAACTGAACTATGTGCCTGGAAAATACATAATATCCCCACTTTAACTACCATTACATTATTGCAGCTGTTTTGATCAGCTGTTCTCATAAGACAAAAAATAGCTTACAACAAACTTCACATTTAAAATTTATATAAAAAGGTGCTTAAAACTGAACAGATATTCTATAAAATAAAAATAATGACATCCTTTATTTGACATTAAAAATGTTTAAAGCAAACCCAGCTTTGAGCTGATTAACTTACCTGGCCACTGAGCAGGTGAAGTGTTAGGCTGAACTGCTTCTTCCATGCTGACACTTTTAATCGACTGCTTCTGAGACAGCAAAACGCTCTGATACACAGTTCCTGTGAAATGGTTCACGTGGCTGTGGGAGAAACACATCGTCAGGATGAAAATGCAAAAGAGAATTTATATTAAACAAGAAATAAATATAAATAAACCAATCTAAGTTAGGTGGAGTAAATTTTGTTTAATGTCCTAGTTTTTGTTTTAATTTGGTTTTAAATTCAGGGTTTTCTCAAACAACATGTTTAGGATGTTCTTTGAGACAAAATGATAATGTGATACATTCAGGTATCTATGACCTTTAGAAATAAAACAAAGCTTTAATAAAATGGAAATACATTTTTTTAAATTTAAATGGTACTAAGAATGCTTATGCTACCAGGGGTTTATTAAGGTTTTAAACACAAAGTAAGTTCTTATTTTCTTGAGCAGGAGCCTGACTGCTTTTAAATCAAAAGACATTCAAAAGTCTAAAGCGACATYGCTCAAAGAGAGCAGCAGGGACCTTTCACAAGATCTTTCTCAAAACAAATGCCTTTTCAGATACTAAACCTTTACAACTTGGAAATTAATCCATAACCTCTGAGTGATTTAAGATCAAAACACAAAAAATCAAACTAAACCTAAAAACAAAGTCATGGAAATGCATTCACTCAAACAACACAAGAGAAAGAACTAAAAATTCATCAAACCTTCAACATTCCTCACAAACACGCAAGCATCTAAAGTTTAAATTTGCCTCTGGTCTTGTCAAAAYGACTTAAACTTATACATCAGTCTTAAACAAACAATACTCCCCCCTCGCATCTGTAAGAACCAAAAACCTAATTAAGCATTTGCAATAAGAATGACGAACAGCATCCTGGCAGCTTTCATAATTTATATTCAACATGATCAAAACAGATTAGTGCTTGTCACAGTCTCCTCAACCATTTATTTTCCTCATCTTTTAAATCAATGTATGGCAGCACTTTGGAAAAGAAGAACAAATAACAGAACAATCTAATCTTAATGAATTTTCTACTTTGAGTAAATATAAACAGTTTGTGCATCATGTTCTTATTAAAGCAGGGTTATTTACATTMTCTCCTGATTATTTGTTATTCAGCTGAAGTAACACCAACTCTGAACCCTCCAACAGTGGATGAGATGACATTTTCCCCTCATTTTTGGCTTTATTATACACAAAATAATAAAATATAATTACTACAGACAGTTCAATTATTTGTCTTTTCTAGTAAAGTGTAAATTAAATGTAAAATGGGGAGGAGGTCCTGCCCCAAGTGGAGGAGTTTAAGTRTCTCAGGGTCTTGTTCACAAATGAGGGAAGAWTGGAGCAGGCGATCAACAGGCGGATTGGTGCTGCRTCTGCAGTGATGCAGGCGCTGTACTAGGACTGGACAACATGACACCCCCACCCAAAAATCTAATCTTTTTCATCCCAAATTCGATTTTAATCGATTTGTTTCTCACTTAACTGAGTGTTGAAACAAATTTGTTGTACTCCTGCTTTTTGTAGCAAGAGCATTCAAACAGATTTTGCAGTGAGATGTTTGTTGTTTTAAGTCAGAGTTTGTGGAACCTAACCAGTCCCAGATAGCTGAAGAAACAGTGYATTTTATGGGAAGTGGATCCTCTCTGCTAGCTGCCATATTGTCATGTCGTGTACCAAGCATCTTGAGGGACAGGTGGGGTGACCTCTGAACTACAGAAGCCCCAAAGAGTGCACTGGTGAGAAAAAAAATCTGATTTTCCCAAAATAAAATGTTTATCAATGACAAATTCGAATTAATCAATTAAATCTATWTATCACCCAACCCMACGCTGTACCGGTCTGTCGTGGTGAAGCGAGAGCTRAGCCAGAAGGTGAAGCTCTCGATTTACCAGTCGGTCTACGTTCCTACCCACATCTCTGGTCACGAGCTTTGGGTAGTGACTGAAAGAACGAGATCGTGGATACAAGTGGCCGAAATGAATTTGTCTGGGCTCTCTCTTAGAGATAGGGTGAGGCGCTCAGTCATCCAGGAGGGACTCCGAGTARAGCCGCTGCTCCTCCACGTCGAGAGGAGCCAGTAGAGGTGGTTYATCTGGTTAGGATGCCTCCCTGGTGAGGTGTTTCGGGCACRTCCCACTGGGAGGAGGCCCAGAGGAAGACCCAGGACACGCTGGAGGGACTATGTTTCTCGACTCGTCTGGGAACACMTTGGGATTCTCCCAGAGGAGCTGGCCCAAGTGGCTGGAGAGAGGGAAGTCTGGGTCTCTCTGCTTAGGCTGCTGCCCCAGCGACCCGACCCCGGATAAGCACAAGAAAACGGATGGACGGACATTGTTTTAAATTATGCTTGATGACTAACAGAAAAAAACAAACACTTGTGAGAAGAAAGAGCATCAATGAGCTAAAATCATTAAGAAAAAGCAACAGGGTGCATGTATCTGCCTGAAAAACTGCAGCAAAGAAGAGCCTTTTTTATGATTCTGATGCCGATGATATTTAAAACTCTGAACTTCTGACAGACAGCTGTACTCCACACGGCTCATTTGTAGACAACTAATCACACAGACAGAAATCATCACCATGGTAACTAAGAAACTGGAAGAAAAGCAGCTGTGACCATTCCTCTCTCTCTCTCTCCTGATCTGTTCTTGGACTTGGCTCATTTGTGCAAAGCAGAATTACCAGACAGAGAATGTTTCAGGTTGTGCTTTGTAATCAACCTGTTTGATGCAATCCCGTTGTTTGTGAAGCTGCACAGAGGTGCTTTATGTCCACAAACATTTTTTTTGTTTTCCAACAAGATTAAAACCCCACAGTCATAATAAAAATGACACAAATATGTTTTACATATTGATCAACGGTTATAGGATACCTTAGACCAGAACTAAGATATCTGATGTTTTATTTGAAAAAAAAAAACGAGTGTAGTTAGCAAATGCTTAAAAAAAGGCAAATWAATAAAGCAACACTCACCTGTATTTGTGTCCGTCGCAAAGACACTGATATATACAGGCAGACAAAGAAGCAGCCAATGTGTGCATCACATAGATCTGAAATRAAAAAGGAGCTGTTAGAGGGGAAATTGGTCGCCTGTGGTAACTATTTGGACTCCCATCTCCTTCAGCAATGATTCTATGTTGATCTTTACCTGGCAGATGCTTAAAACAGCCACAGGTTTTCAGCCAGTTTAACACAAATTGCCACAAAGAATGCATTTAGAATATATTAAATAACAGCTAGCTCACCTCGTTGTTAACAACATCGTGATGCGGGGGAGAGTCGAGTGCAACGATGGTATGCAGGATGTCATGAGTCAGGTTGGTCAGGTAGACGATGGGGTTGGCCACCACYGTCTTCACGTTGACTGTACATGCCATGAGAAGCGGGATGGAGGTGGGCTGGGAACTGGCTGCCACCGATGAAGTGATGGAGTCATCCTGCAGATAAGAGGTCAGGATGAAACGTGTAACTTTACTGAGTACTCTGATGAAAATGCATGCAGTAAACTTACTGAAACACTAACTTGAACAATGCAATCAGTATTAACTCATTTGTTTCTTAGAGGGTAAAAAAAGAGAAAAGAAACACGAAGTAGGTGCTCTGAACCTTTGAAAAAGACTTTCTTAGCTAAAATAACCCACATCAAATGAGGGAAATCATCATGAGCTGAAAATGTCGCACATGATTTAAAAAAACATCTTCCTGTCTGTGTGATTGACAGTTAGAGCAAAAAAAAAAAAAAAAAAGCAACACTGGCAGCGGAGGGGTGCATGACTTCGTGTGCATTATATTCCTGAACATGACTTTCTGCGTATAAGAATACCACAGGCTTATTTTCGTCAGCCTACATGAAGCACACTCAGTTCTCTATAACCTACTTAACAAGAACTCTTCACGCTGTTTGAAGTTGACACAAAGGGGGGAAAAAATTCCTCAACAACAATGAAGAAATTTGACAAGTGTGGAACAAGAGCTTGGAGAAAAAAATAAAAGAAAWTTATATCAAAAACAAAGTGGGAGAGCAGAAACGACTCCCCGCTACAAAAACAGTCCCATGTTGGCTCATTGAGTTGTTTACTTCGTAAGATTTTGACTCGACTTTTTATTAGTGTGTCTCAGGCAGGACTTTCCTCAGGTGTTTGTGGGGGGAGACAGGTACAACCTGTCAGCTCATTGCTGGAGGTGTACAGATAATCATCAGTGCAGCGTAACTGTATGTGCCTGATGTGACAATCTGCTGCAGTGATTTATGGTTTTTAGATGTTTGTGTCACACACGTTGCTGCTCAGTGTTCTTGCTTTCAAAAGGAGTGTGTCGTCAGCTGCAGAGTGACAATCACACTGTGGATCAGTGATCACTGAGGCTTGTGCGTGGGCGTGAAGAGGAGGCACCCACTCACAATTTACTGAACGATGACAACAATGCAGAGGAAGAAAATCAATTAGCCTTGATATGTGAAATATTTTGCATTTATTTCGTGTTTTGAAACTACTTAAAAACATGAAAATTAATGAAAGAAGCAACTTTCATCAATTTTGAAGTTTAACTGACTAATTTATGAGAAGGTTAAACGGGGTCCTGTGTCTTTATCAGTCTGACAGCTTATTAATTATGAATGACACAATCTGATGCCGAATCCCAACCTGGATCACTTTTATGGCTGTTTATGTTTATTATTCTTCAAATGGCAATTAGTGAAGATAAGGTGTTTTGTATTTTAATGACATGTTTAAAAAGTTGTTTGTGGTGCTTGATTCTCTGCATTACTGATGCCAAATATAAACTCATAACTCTGTCAACAACCTAATTCTTAACTTTGATTTAAATTCTCTTATTTTCTATTTGTAACATTTAATTTTTCATATATCTGGATTTCTTAACATTCCTCCACAGTGACAGCGAGCAAAATCATGAAACTTTCAATCGAAAACATCTTTTAGTTTACAGAAAAATAAAACACAAACTTTCCAGTCTATAGAACAAACTAGCTTACTGATACTCAGCTTTTTATTTAATTAAGAACAAATACTGTGTTTAAACTAGATGAAACAGGTTTCATTAAAAAGAAAATGTTTGAGGCTCAAACAATTTGATGCCACATTGAGTAAAACATGCAACTCTGAACACTAATATGAGAATAGACAATATATTCATCACTGATTTACATCAAGTTGGTATAATTTGTCCAAAGAAATTCAGAAAAACTTATATATTTTAGGAGAGATGGGACCAAACAAGGAATAATTTTGTCAAACTGTTAATAGAAAAAAGTTTTTTCCCCACTCAACCCACAAAACTAGTAATACATCATTTAAAACTTTTTTGTCTCATTACCAGAAAAAACAAGCAGTCTTTCGTTCACCAACAAAGATGTAAAATTCTTCTAATTAATCAGCATGTAACTTTACATCCTTAAATATAATTTTTTAAAAAATTATTTATTATGTTTTT